GTCCCTTGCGCTGCGTCACGACTGAGGGGAGAGGAGAGGGGTGCTGGCAACACTTAACAACGAGCAGGCTGGGCCGGGTCAGACTGCGTGGGTTTGTATGAGTCGTGAGTTTTGGTTTGCTTTTAACCGTTTATTTAGTATATTTGTTCTGTGCAACCTCCAAGGCGGTTGTTAGCCTTAAATAAAAGCTGATTGATTTGGACAATATTTTGGGCTACAGCTGGACTCCTGTACAGCCTTTATCTGAAATGCCTTCGACTACGAAGTGAGCTTTGTTTCCAGCCCATGACCGCTAACGATGGCCGGCTTGTCGTGTGGCTTCCCGTGAACTGGAGCGCGCTGTCACGGGCGCTGGTGTCTTGTTCCAGGAGCCAGTCGCCCCTCCGAGCCGACCCAGGAGTTCCAGACTATCCAGGCGCCTCCAGCGCACGCGCCTCATAACGTCACAGTGCGGGCCCTGTCCGCCACCAGTCTGCGCGTTGGATGGATTGTGAGTGAGGGCGGCAGAGTGCCGGCGCCCGAAGGTCGGCTGGCTGTGGGCTGCGCGATCCTCAGTACTGTGACGTGTGTTGTCATATTGTGTCATATCATACTGTCGGGCATGTCTTAGCGGGCCCTTTGTCATCGCTTCATGTAAGGAGAAGTCTAATGATTAAGTTTTATTGCTGATAAAAGCGCGAGATTTCCTCCACGAGCTGTTTCGGTTTGCTTCTTCTACTGGTTTTCGCCGCATAAGTTGGGTAGCCCATGAGCCGCCCAATAGGCCGAACAGTTTGCTTTAGCGCCTCTTCAGCAGTGGGGGGATTGACATGAACAGCACGGGGCATGTCAGGTGTATCATACTTGATATTTACAATGCCCGTATTAATTGGTGGCCTGACACGTAGCACAGTTGCCTGTTTGTTTCATCAGGCTCATAGCAACATCAGGTCTGAGACGCTGTGGCGTTATTTCTGTTCGGGTGTGCTGACCCGAGCCCGTGCAGTTACAACGCACAATTATGGAGCATCACATATTACGCTGTGCCATTGTCACGACAGCAATGCTATTGGTCCATGACTAATCTGCCGGCCCCGCTGTTTTAACCGCATCTGTGTAGGCGACAGGAAGTACTCACCGGGAGTGGTTTTACTGGGGGCATACCTTGCTGTGTATTCCTGGTGGCAGCTTACGCCAGCCTGGATAAGGCCTACCAATGTTGTTCGGATGAGTGCTCTGTATTGATGCGGCCTACGCTGGCTACTTCTCGTTGATGCGATTTTGCCTATGACCGCTTCATTCCCCCGGCGCTCTGTGTTTGAGACTCTGCACTGTAAGGCGTGAAGAACACTCGTTGGTAGGGACGTCGTATAGTGCCAGCAGTGCCCACTCTGTCATGCCCATTGGAAGCTTGTTTCTTTGACAGGATCGCCAGGAGGGGTGACACTAATTTATTGAAGCCGGTTAGATATTCATTTGTTAATCGTGGCTGTGGGTACACTTGATGCGCGGCCCCTTCTGTTTGTTCTCCACTGGCTAGGTCACCCGGATGGGCTTAACATTTCACATTCCTGTGTCTTTCAGCGGCGGGACAACTCTCGAACTATATTTGTGGCGGGAGTAGTCCGTCATCAATTTGGCCACATCATGGAGCTAATGCCTCTCCAAGATTGGGGGAAAGGGACACCTGGCACAAAAGCCACTGCAGTTACCACGCCCCTAAAACCCTGTCATAAACAAGAGAGGAGCACGTCCCCCACCCCACCCTCCAATGACCGGCGCGTCCCTGACGCGTTCGCTGTCCGCGCTGACGCCGGTGTCTGCCCTCGCCACAGCCGCTGCAGCAGCTGGAGTGGTACGGCGTGCCACGGGGCTACAACGTCTCGTTCCGGCGGCTGAGCGAGGACGCCAGTCGCACGCGACTCGACACCATCTCGATCGAGGGTGGGTCCCGGTGGCAGCTGAGGTCACTTGCCGAATGTGTCGGCTCGAGTCCCTTATGTGGGAGTTATCAGTAGCCGCACAAGGCGTGCGTTTGTGGGCTTTGGTTAATGTGGAGCGCAGCACAATTTGGGTGTCCATTGATTTAGATAAGTATGACGATCGTTTTTCAGTAACACTTATTTACGTACCAAAAATGCTTGATACAGGTAGATTCTTCCTGAGTCGCCAATGCTTGGCGACTTTTGCCATCCAAACTGGGCCTTTTGTACCTATACCTTTATACGTATACTAAACTGTACCTTTTGTAAAAGGTACAATAATAGCAAATCAGTAACTGTAGGGATCATTCTTTCCCAGCTCCCCGTTACCTAGTGGCGGTGTTTCAACCACTGAGAACCTTATGCCCGGTTCCGATGACGTATAATGTCTGGATTGGAAGCCCGGCCCTGCTGGCTCTCGGAAAGATAAAGACCAGCTCAGCTCATAATCCCCCCCCCCCCCCCCCCACCCAAGAGCGCGCCAGTAAACAGACGACCTCGTCCACTTCCGACGGAATTGAGCGAGCGCTCCGCAGTCGCCTGGCTTATCATAGGCCTACCACACGCGGCTCCAGTCGAGCTTGGCGGCTGTTGCCATCCCAACTGGGCTTATGAGGATTTTTGCTAGGCACAATGGCCATAGGGGTTTCCTTGTCAGCGGCGTTGCTGTGAACGAACTCAGGCGGAGTGCGCTGGAGAAGTACGCATGATTTGTGGTGTATGTTGTTTGCTTTAGTTATCTCTGTTTACATATCTAGCTGTTTGGTGCGGAATTTCGGATGATGCTCCACCTCAGTGGTTTTCTGGATATGCCCCTGATTATGAGTCAGTAGGGCAGCAGTGCGGCCGTATGCAGGAGCTCCTGCACGTCAGCTGGTGGCACGTGTGACGTCCAGGCCAGGTCTGGAGCTGAGGCGACGTTTGTGTCCAACTGGCGCAGTCGATTTGGCGACTGTTTGAAGGTGCTTTTGCTGAGCACTATAAACTGGCGGGGTTTATGGTGCTCCGACTTTACTTCATCACTCGCTATTACCCCATCGCCGGGTTATGGGGCCAGGGCGCGCGCCATCTCTGGAGCGCCGCCAAGGTGGGACCGTACAACCGTCTGACCGCGTGGCGACGCGCCGCTGCGGTGGCCTTAATGTGGCTTCCGGTGACCTCGCACCGGGCCGGGGAAATATTAACGTAACGCCTTGCGTAGGATTCGAACTCGGGCTGCTCAGTTGGAAACCTCATGCACTGTCGGCCTCGTTTCTGACGCCCAACGAACGTGCATTCGTAAGCTCACCGCGCACCGCTACGGATACCGTGCCTTTGGGGGGGGGGGGGATGGGGATGAAACAGCAGAAAAGAACAGCATGCGTAGTACTGCGTGGAAGCATATGCTACATCGTGGAGGAAATCCTTTACTTCTGGCTTGGGTGCAGTGAACGCTGGACAGTGAACGCTGGAGATCATTCGGCCCATAAAGAGCATTGCGAGCTCAACATCTGGTGACAATACTATTTTGCGTCGACTGGCTAGTCCCAGACACTCTAGTCAATCCAGAGCTAGATCTTCCCTTGCAGTTTGCTATGAACATGTTGGTGCGGCCTAGTAGATGTGATTTCGTGTGACTAATGAGCATAAGCCCTGACGATTCAGCACATTTGATGATCGCATCACCACCATATCACTAAAGTTTTCTCAATTTTTCACTATCTAGCAATTATTGGACTAGTTAATGACAGAAGCATCCGGTTAGTTGGTTCGGTGGATTAACACATCTCTTTAAGACCATGCGTGATCAGCTTTACTGTGTTCGTTGGCAACCTCTGTTTGCCCTTGCGTGTTTCAATACCGTCGGTAAGCTAGCACGCTTCCCTACCAGAGTTACCTCTCCCACCCGACCGCTTCCTCACCGCCCCTCCCACCCGGCCGCCTCCTCAATATCCCCCCCCCCCACACACACACACCTAGCCGCTTCTCGATCATCCCATCTCACTCGGCTGCATCTTTGCCGCCTCCTTCCACCCGGCCGCTTCCCTTCCGTTCTCTCCCACCCGGCCGCTTGCCTTCCGTTCTCTCCCACCCGGCCACTTCCCTTCCGTTCTCTCTCACCCGACCCCTTCCCTGCTGTCATCTTCCCACCCGACCGCTTCCCCACCGTCCTCTTCCACTCGGTCGTTTCCCCATCGTCCCGTCCCACCTGACTGCTTCCTTGCCGTCCCCTCCCAGCCGGCGCCTCCCCACTATCCCCGCTTCCCCCCGTCTCCTGCGGCCAGGCCGGCGGTCGAAGCCCGGCGCCACACCCCGACACCAGCCAACTGCCGTACCCCGACACCAGCCGACACCAGCCGACTGCTATACCCCGACACCAGCCGACTGCCGCACCCCGACACCAGCCGACTGCCGCACCCCGACACCAGCCGACTGATGCACCCCGACACCAGCCGACTGCCGCACCCCGACACCAGCCGACTGCCGCACCCCGACACCAGCCGACTGCCGCACCCCGACACCAGCCGACTGCCGCACCCCGACACCAGCCGACTGACGCACCTCGACACCAGCCAACTGCCGTACCCCGACACCAGCTGACTGCCGTACCCCGACACCAGCCGGCTGCCGTACCCCGAGCGGGTGCTGCCGTGGCGGGTGCTGATCCTCGCACCCCGGTGTCGGCAGACCGCAACGCCAACTCGTTCGCGCTCGACCAGCTGGAGGAGTACGTGCGCTATGAGGTCATCGTGCAGAGCTACAACGACGTGGGCAGCAGCGAGCCGAGCGCGCCGGTCGTAGAGCGCACTCGCGAGTCAGGTGGGTCGGCGCGATGACTCGGAGTCGTCCGAGTCGGCGCGAGGACGTGGTGGTGACTGGCGTCGGCGCCGTACTCCCTCGCGGCGGCGCGCTTCCTAAGTGCGTGACCTCCGCACTGTTTGACCTCCCACTATTTCCATATAGTGGCGCTGACATTGTATGGCTCGTATTGTGTGACATATTCACTGTGCGATTTCGCCCCGTTGTAATCTCCTCACCATTTGACCTCGATGCGCTGAGACCTGTGTGCCGCATGTGTTGTATGACCCTTGCAGTGTGACGATTACAAGGTACGTCACCCGTTGTATAACCTTGCTCTGTATGACCTGCACAGTGTGCGATGTTATGCACCGCATGTTTACGCTATGCGACCTGTACTTTGCATGTTTTCTACAAAATGATTGCATCGTCTCACTATGATCGCTGCACCCATTGGACTCAACCTTTTCTGACCTCAGCAGGTTATACTGCCACGGCGTAACTGCGTGCTTCGCACTGTACAAAATTGACACCGTGTGAACTGTATACCGTTCATAAGTATGACCACGTCTTGGAGATAGGTGGAGACAAGTCAGCACTGGATGGGTAAGATTAGTATCTGGGTGGGGGGGGGGGGGCATGACCCGGTCTGATAATTACATTTGATAGGAAGACTCATAAATGGGCATTCTCTGAGCAAAATCAAGATCATTGTCTGAATGAGAACTCCCAACTTCAATGTTTTTTTTCAGTTGCCATACTACACGATCTCCGCATCGCGCAATGACGGCACCGTATGACCTGCTCACCACAAAACGTCTGCACCGTGTAAATTCCACACTGTTTGACCCTGACCCCGCGTGCCGTCGACAGTGCCGGGGGCAGGGCCAGAAGACGTCCAGGCGAACGTTACCTCCTCCACCACCGTTGTCGTGAGCTGGGGGGACATCCTGCCGCTGCAGCGCAACGGCATCATCGAGGGCTACAAGGTGTATTATGGCTTCAAGGACACTGAGTTCAAGGTCAGTCTCGGGGCTCGGTCAAGGTCAGTCTCAAGACCGTCATGATTGTGGTAAGCTCCGAGTTTTCATCATGCGTTTCACCATCATCATGCGATATGACAGCACCCTTGTATTGAGTTTATTTTATTCCAGAAAGCCTTTTTTGTATACGTATTATGCTAATTTCCTCCCGAAATGAGTGCATGTGGAAACATCTGAGAACTCGCCACCGTAATTGGATCAGTTGGTATTTTTTCATGAAGCGCATCGCCCAACATACAAATGAACGTTTTCGTGACGAACAGAGCAGCGATTCCACAAAAGACTTAACTACCTCACGTGGTGCTCTGCTTGAGATTCTCCGGCATTCTGTCTCCCCCCCCCCCCCCCCCTACCGCCTCCCAACGGAAGTAATAAGAGGCTTGTGTAAAAGCCGGAAGGAAAACCGGAAGGCTGAAAATAGCAAAGCGACTCGTGCTGCCGACTTGCCCCTGGCCGGAATTGCTTTGCCTTAGTTCAGTATTCGCAACGTTTATGGAGCCACTCTGTTTCAGTATAAGATGATTGAGGGAAACCAGACCCACACTACGACCCTGACGGAGCTGAGGAAGTTCACCAAGTACAGCGTGCAGGTGCTGGGTCGCACCCGCCTGGGCGACGGTGCTCTCAGCGTACCGCCCGTCACCGTGCGCACCTTCGACGACGGTGAGCGGTAGACCGCGGTGGGGAGAGGTGGATTGCGCTAGGGGAGGTAGATTGTGCTCGGGGAGGTAGATTGTGGTTGGGAGAGGTAAATTGCGGGGAGGAGTTGGAGAGGTGGACTGTGGTGGGCAGAGGTGGATCGCGGTGGGCGCGGTAGATTGTGTGGAGGGGAGTACGAGTACCTCATATGACACCCTGGTTTCTTGTGACAATTACGGCCACCGGCGTTACAATTGCCGGATGTCTCACACCTGCTGTGCCCTCTGCGAATCGAGTGGCGACCTCTGACACACTGACCCCGTCTGCCCTCCGACCTCTGCCTGGCTTATGTTTGCTGATGCGCCTGACCTATCCCCACTGACCCGCCGCTTGGTTTGCGATCTCTGATATCCGCTTGCCTTAGGACTTTGGCCTTTGCCTGGCCTCAGCCGGGTCCCTGACCATTGCCTTTGGCCTCCGCCGAGCCTCTGACCTCTGACCTCCTCAGTTCCCGGCGTGCCGTCCAACGTGAGCTTCCCGGACGTCAGTTACACGTTTGCCCGCGTCATCTGGGACCTGCCGGCCGAGCCCAACGGAGTGCTGCTGGCCTACAAGGTTACCTACCACCCGGCCGACAGCACCAACATCAACATCACCCACGAGCTCGCTCCGGAGGACCGCACCTACAAGTGAGCTGGAGCTGGCGGCACGGAGCGCGGCGACGCTGCGACGCTGGATTTGCTGTTTTGTTGGTTTTGGACGCCACCGCATACGTAACTCGTATTTTGAAAGCAGAAATGACACTGCTGGTGGCGATTTTCATGTGTGTAGAGACATGACAGTGTTAATTCGCGATGCGTCTGTTGTTTGTTTTTTGTTTGTTATTTTTACGCCTGGCTAAACTGAGTATGCCATAACTTAACAATGTAGATGAATTAGGGGTAAATGTGGGCAGGTGAAGAAGAAGGAAAGGATGGAATTGAGGGAACAAAGAGAAGTGGAGCCGTGGCAGGGCCGCGGTGCGCTGGGCCAGTAGTGTGGAGCAGCGCGCCGCTCTTACTGGCCCTGGAATATGTCACCCCTGGGCCTGATCGGTCTTAATCTCGGCGTCGTTTGCGCTCCTGATCTCGGCATCCATTAACGGACCCTGTCACCAACGCACCGCCTTAGCGGCACTGTTCTCAAACAGGTGCCCTCGCACGTGTTGCGGAACTCGATGTTAACTAACCGACGGAAACGACACCCACTAACCAACAGGATCGACGCTCACTAACCGACGCACCAGGCGCGCACTAGCAGACGGACTCGGCGTTCGCTGACCGACGGACTCGCCGTTCGCTAACCAACAGACTCGGCGTTGACTAACCGACCGACTTGGCGTTCATCAACCGACGGACTCACAGGCACATCCACCGCCGCAGGGCGACGGGTCTCCAGCCGGAGCAGTCCTATATGTTCCTCATCTCGGCGCGCACCCGGCTCGGCTGGGGCCAGGTGGCGCGCGCACTCGTCTACACCACCAGCAACCGGGAGGCGCCGCAGCCGCCGTCGGCCCCGCAGGTGTCGCAGAGCCAGGTGCTCAGCGACCGGATCACCTTCTCCTGGACCCCCGGCCGCGACGGCTTCGCCCCGCTCAGGTGGGGCGGCGCGCGGCGCGCGGCCGCACACGCACACGCGTGCGGGCGAAAGGCTTACGAGCTTTGGGCGGGTAGGTAAAGACGCGTGGGAGGCGAGATGGCGCGGGCGTTGATGTAACGCGGCTGCTGATTGGCTCGCGGTGACGAATGCTCGCGTCGTCTGGTGGCAAACGCAGGCAGTCTGGATCCACAGGATGAACGCCCAGTGCCCTCCGCAGATGACTATGTCGCTGCCTCTCGTGCGATTGGAACCCGGTGCGTACGGTTGTGAACGCGGTGCTCTACCGACTGTGCCGCTTCCCCGCGAGCGGCGCGGCGCGTGCTGGCTCCTGAGCCTCGGCAGACAGCGCGGCGTTATGGTATCTATTCAGGAATGTGTCTCAGCAGTTCACCAACGGATGCTGTGTTGTCGATCCGTCGACACATGTCATGTACCGAAGCACCCTCGGTCACAACTGGCGGAAACGGACCCCAGTGAAAGCTTCCTTTGTCAAGAATCGAACCCAGGCGCTTAGCCTGGACCTCGACGTTATAACCACCGCGTCATCTGCGCCGCAGGTACTACACGGTGCAGACGGAGGAGGAGGGGGGCAGCTGGCAGACGCACCCGCTGCGGGTGGACCCGATGGTGACTGCCTACACCGTCCTCAACCTGAAGCCGTTCACCACCTACCGGTGAGTGTTCAAACTAAAATTCCCGCCAAACTGGCTGGACGGAGCCAAGCGCGCGCCGTCGGCGCCTGCATCGATATTTTTCATTTTCGGTTACATTGTCGAGCGTGTTTCTCAGATCTTAAGGGCTGCATAGATCCAGGCTGCCAGGCATCTATCACCCTGCATAGATGCAGGATATTGTATTACTATATTTGCCCTGCATATATGCAGGATAGTAGAGAGAAAAAAACGCATGGATGCTGGCATCCAGATGCTGTCTTATTTTCTCATTAATTGGTTGGCATTGCTGCAAGACCCTTGCCACTGAACAGAGAACGCCCTGGTCGATGACTTTGAGCGGGCGATACGTGGGATTGACGTTGGGTGCATTGTCGCCGTCACCCGTGTGTTTGATAGTGCTGATCATGGCATCCTTCTGACAACACTGCAGTGGTATGGCATTGATCCGAACAGGCTTGAAAACTACCTTGCTGGTCGATGGCAGGTGGCGAGAGGCGGTCGTCTCCCTCTCTCTCTCTCTCTCTCTCTCTCTCTCTCTCTCTTCCGCTGGCTCACGGTGTCCCTCAGGGTCCTTGGTCGGCCTTATCCACTTCAGCATCTTCGCGAACGACCTACATCTTGACTCCCTCATGGATGTCTAGCTTCTTATGCCAATGATACCGAACTGCCAGGCTTCGCTCCTCCAGACCAACTGTCCGCTTTGATACCTCGACAGGAAACAACCATCCGAGTGATTCAATCCCACTTCATATATAACCCCCTTAAAAAAGCACACCAAAACAACTCTTCTCCTTTTTGGGACTTCACACCCTCTGAAGAAAACCTCATCCTTTCGCCATGACATTGCGGGGCATAAACTCAGCCCTTCGCTGTCCATGACGATGCTGTAGGATACTGTAAAAAGTACCCTGGCTTGAAAGATGCATATCTTCCATGTTGTCCAAATGTAACTCCATCCTTTTCAGCTAGTACAAAATTCGTTACTTCCTTACGCCCAGGGTTCGTAAATGCCTCATCCAGTCACATGTTTTCCCTTATCTTTCGCACTTCTTCTCAGTCTTGGCTTGGGGTGCAGTGTATCATGTAAACAAAGTGCAATGGGTGATGAACTTCACCGCTAGGATTGTCACCGAGTTTCGACGGTACAATTCAGTGGCGGCGGATGTTCAAATGCTGGGCTCATTCTTGACCTCATCACCCACTGTGGCGGCGTCGCTTTAGTTATGGCTCTTAACTACTTGCGGACTGCGGTGGTGACCTGGCCCCCGTTCACCCCACGTACCGCTGTGTGCCAGCATGCTATCCGGACGGCAGGAACGGGTGCCCTTGATTTGCCAGCTCTTCGTCTGTGGGTGGCACGCAGAGCCTTTCGTATCGATTGGCCTGATCCTGGAGCCGCATGTCGCCGACCGTCACCACCTCGCGCGCCCGTGACGAGTTTATACCAAACTTAGACGAGTTTTATACCAAACTTAGACGAGTTTTATACCAAACTTAGACGAGTTTTATACCAAACTTAGACGAGTTTTATACCAAACTTAGACGAGTTTTATACCAAACTTAGACGAGTTTTATACCAAACTTAGACGAGTTTTATACCAAACTGGAGGATTTGGGCGGTCCTGCTACGTAATCATTGCTTGCTTGACGTTTTGTGCCATGTTTTGAAGATTTAGATTTTGATTGATTGTTTTGTTTTTGGACGAAGTTGTGTGAACGACTGGTTGGTTGAAAAGTACGGATGTGGTCGTGTTGTTGTCATGTTTTGAAATTTCATTCATACTTCTATTTCAGTTGAACCGATTCAAACCATGACCTGTTTGCTCGAATTATTCGCGAATGCAATGAACTGATCATAAATTGATGGAAAAACACCAAGTTTGTTATGCATCGGGACACTGGTGCGCCCAGACATCGGGCAGACATTTATCCATATGTAGTGGGGTTAATGACTCAACCTTGTTTACCGCTCTCTCAATGCTTTTGGCGGCCACCATTAAGCGAAATCTTTGTGCTTCTCATTCATATCATTCATATGGAGCTGTTAGGGAATCTTCGTCAATAGATCCACACTGACAACTGTGATCTATTTCGGTTTGTAGTTCGGCGTTTGGCCAGTTTGGCCGAGGTTTTCTTGCTTCCCCTGCCCAAATCTAACGTGCGTATTCCTTCGCCGACCTTATTCCAGTCCTACTTGGGCCTTTTGAGGGAAAATTGCGTCGCGTCTCGAAAAGAACTAATGCAGAGCTCTTAAGAAACAAAGCACCGAAGGTCACTTTTGTTTTGGTTGTAGCTGAGATGGTCTGCCTCATTTAGATTTGTGTCCCTGAGGATCACTGGGGCACGATATGTCGGAATTTAAATGGCCGCCATTCTCAGCTGGCATGATAATGCATTGCCTGTGATCCAAAGTGCCGTCTGGAAGCGGGACGTCGAGGTGTGATCAGTTGACGGGGCTAGGATGTCTAGGACATTGCTGTTTTTATTTCATCAGAAAAAAGCTTCCGGGAATAACCTTACAGTTTTTATTTGTCGTGGCGACCTCGTGATATTCCTCCGTTGACGTACGTCAATGTCATGTTAACATGTTACCCTCAACCAAGGGTGGAAGGTGACCTTTGAATCAGCGACAGCAAACGACTTTCCGGGCCTTATCGACGTAATAAGCAATGCTCTACTTTGTACCTTTGCCGCCATCGCCACACTTTTTGGAATATGATCTGACGTATAACGAGCGAATAAATATCGTTTCCATGACAGCGATGTGGGGCGCCTTTTGTGGTGCGGGTAATGAGCAATAGGTGTGTCCATTGTTAGAGGTGTAGCAACCGTAACAGTTGCACGTGGAGTACCTCAGGAGCGCGTGCTGTGTGGACCCGGTACCGGCTGGGTGTCCTTCAACGGAGACTGGCATTGTTCGGTGGCCCTGCCAGCATTATTCCCTTCACGCTGGTGCTTCTTAAACCGTTCTGCTTAATTTTATAAGAGTTATGGTTTGCAAAGCAAGCTTTGTAATGAAAGGTAAACGTCTTTTGCAATTCTGGATTTAGTTAACAATTCATTCGCATTTGCATAAATGTAAAACGCGGTGGCATTTCCGTAACAAATGGCGGTTTTTATACGACGGTGTTTCTTCGCTCTGCAGACATTTCTTGGCTGTATGACAATGTGCAGCCGACGGGCCCAGAAATTCTGCGGCCTCTTCTGGAATATATGCGGAGTAGAGTGCCAATCAACAGTTGGCCCTGAGTTGTTTTCATATAAGCGGAGCGAGCACCCCTAGGACACATTGCTGATAAAGCAGGCGGACAATAAGGAGATAGTGCGATTAGTTGAACGGAACTTTCACACCCATTCTTACCAAGGACTGTCTTATGAATAACGGATCAATGTTGGGATAGGCACACCTTTTCCGAAAAGAGTCACCGATCTCTTGAAACAGATAGAACTGACAACACGCACATTTCTCAAACAAGTATTCTTCTAAACTTCCCTGTTTATAGCCCACGTACGGGAGGCGTCCCATCGAAGTTCTTCAGAGTACCACGCATCCGCATCTCGCGTACGATAATTGATTGATTGCACATAAATTAAGCAACAGGTTCTCGGCGGAAACGTGTGCTGCGAGATGTCATCATTCTAGCAAGGAGCCTGCCTACGAATGCGATCTTGTATCTTGCAAGTATCTTGTAAGTGTAAGTATCTTGTGAGGACCGATTTGTTTGGTAAAGCATCGGTATGTACATGCTGCCCAGGGGACGTACGCGGGCACATGCTGGAAAGTAGTACGTGGAATAAATCACACATGTTTGTGTGACGGCAAATAATAGATTATGCAAGTAAGAAGCTACCGCTGGCTGTTTGAAATGGAAAGCTGCAGATCACGACCAGGCATGAAGCTCCTCAGAAATCTCCTTAAAGGGAAGGCGAGGGAAATTTCAGGCCCTCTCTGAACTTCGATAATTTGCAACGACTTTCTGCGAAATCGTTCAGCATCTATTGTAAATCTCGCGGCTCAAGGAGGCCAAAACTCCTATGCCCCCCCCCCCGCCCCCCGTCTTGGTGGGGCGTCCTTGATCATGACCGAACCTTTTCAATTATCCTCTGTTGGCTCTTAACATGGCCGCTTTCATAAATTTAAAATGTTTGCAATGAAGCAAGCAGTGACGTCCTTGTCATCTGTGTTGCGCCGATTCCTTTGTCATTGACGCGCATATGCCACCACGCTCCTGACGTTAGCGCGTCCATGTTTGCAGGTTTCGGATCCAAGCGACCAATGACAAGGGTCCGAGCGGCTGGAGCGACCCCAGCGACTCCGTCAAAACACACCCGGCCGGTGAGTGATAGCGCCTCGTCTGGTCACAGCGTCGCAGTCTCCGCCGCCTTTGTTGCGCGTCCCGTGATAACAGAATATGGACAGTGACGTGATCTAGCTAGACCGGCCGTTGCGACCTTTCGTAAACACCTCGGCTAGCGTTGGGAGATGCATGGGGAGGATTGATTCATAGGATGTGAGGTTGTAGTTTCGACGTGTACACTGTGGGGCAAGCGAGGAACACCCCAGATTGTGGGCCACATGTCTCGGATCGGAGATGCCTGGCGGACGTGGTGGGTACTTGAACAATAATGCATGTTGGGTGTTTGGGTGCAGAAAGTATTATTCCGAATATTATATCATTATTTCTTATATTATTATGTTATTATTGCTACATATATTATATGTTGATTTTATATTACATTATTTAATATATGATATTATTATTATATTTGATATGATATTATTATGATTATGCATTGTTTGGGTATCCAGAATTTCCGTGTCGATCGGGTGCAGCACAAGTTTCTGATTTGTCTACTTACTCACACATGCTCCGGACTCACAGCTCTCCTTATGTCAGCTTTCTGTTTCATTACCAAATCCCACCCCTAGCAGCACGACTTACCCTCTTTGAGAAACATCTTCCGAGGTAAACTGGACTCTCAGATCTTGCTGAGCTGTTTCCCGTTGCTTGTGCCGCCTCGATCGACCCGCGCCCGGACTCTGCTCGTTGTATCTGGCGCTCGTGTGCAGACTGTACTGAATGGTCTGTTTTGCAGACTGTCATGCGTTGGAAACGCTCTTTTAGCTAGCAGAGCTAGCGCGAATATCTTTCATGACAAGCATCCTCACCCAGCTTTGAGATATGTAATCCTTTAATTTTGTTCCTACTTCCGTTTGCCTTGTATTTATTGTATTTTATTGTAACGACTTCGCATGTCAGTGGAGTGCAGCTTTGTTGGTGATGACTGAAATTAAACGAGTAAACAAATTATATTTGAATATGATACTATTATTAAGATAGTATTGTTCATCTTATGACTTCTCTTGAGCGAGTTATGGTAAAAGCGTTTTAAAAGCAAAGTTGAGGATTTCTACATGGGTTAAGCAAGTTGCGCAGAACAGCCTAACCAAATAGAATCGCGCTCCGGACGGACAGGAAAAGCTAAGGCACAGTCACTTCCCTTGTGGTTTTGGGGAGGGCGTGCTTTGCACGCACACACTCCGACTTATGAGCATATTGTACAGTCCTACCTTGTGCGCACGTACCCTTCCAGCGCCTTAACGCCACCAGCGTTCCAGTGCAGCTGTTCAGAACGTGAAAAACGGGATCTAGTGGTCGTACATCACACCTCCATTCCAACACGCAATGGACATGGACTCAAACGGGATCTAGTGGTCGTACATCACACCTCCATTCCAACACGTATCCACCTCGGGTGCGGCCAGGTCAGGCCGCTTCATTTCCGCCCAACCTGCGCGGACGCTTCGCGCGACAGGCAATAACGTCGCTATCGGTAGAGGTAAAAGCTGCTTATTAATCATTTTTGTACCATACTGAGGTCTCCGGACAGCTCACCGAACACCGTGCTCCTTGAAGTTTCAGCAAACTGGACAGACTGGCGTCAGATCGAGGCACGACTAGTGGTGCACGCAACGTTTAAAGCCGTCTGGCAGCTTGCGGCGTCGAGAATATGCCAATAACGTCGATCGCCGTAGTTGGCAGGCCTGGGCAGGCCGGCAATTTTCCCGCTCCGCAAATGCACCTTGGCCGCAGCTCTGGTCGACCCCGGTGACCCGGCGGTGGCGTCGGTGACCTCTTCGCGTCTGGCGCTCGCTGGCGGCTCTTTGAACTCGGATTGTTTCTGGCGCCGGGTGCCACGCGCGCCTCGACTTGCTGACTAGGTGGTGGGGAGGGGAGGGGTGAAGGGTGGCGTAATTGGACATATTCTTCGAAGCTGGGATCTAGTGATCGCGGCCCTGCGCTCCGTCTCCAGAGAGGACGCATGGACAACGGCAGCACACGGATGTCTGCTGGAGTATATGCACGTACCCCAGGGAGGGCGCCTGAATGAACGTCGCATTGAAGGAAGTGTTCTACATTGTAGGGGGTTCTGAACGGAAATGGCCATCTTGAAGATCATTCGATGCACTTAACAGCCCTGTCCTTCTTTAGATATAAACTCCTCAGGTTTCTTAGTTACACGCCTGAGAAGGTGTGCAGACTTTTCCGAGATTATTTCAAGACCACCCGGGCATCCATGACGCCATACAACTTCATTCAAATCCTGCTATTCCCTTGGCCAGGCGGCGATCAAGAAAAAGAAAACGATTATTGCCGGGTTGTCCATATCGGGTGTTTGTGAGCGCGATTTCCGGATATAACGGCCACCAATTGCCTCTCAATCTATGTTGTGCATGTTGCGATGACGGAATGAAACAGTGGCGTATCGAGGAGCATAATTACTAAACAGAGAGGCACTGCGATTATATATACCAATAGCTATAAGTGAGCCTATTTCATGACATATGATGTCTGCTACAAAATCTTCAAATGTGGAACATCATCTTTAACGTCAAATACGGCTGGCCCACGACATGATGCGGCCAGGAAGCAGAACCAACACACTCATTGCTTAGGGATCGAAATCGAAACATGACGTCGTCCGACTAACAATGCTTTAAGTAGCGACATAAAAGTTGAATGTCGTGTGCCCAAAGTGTGATCAATCTTGAGGACACGTGGTAGAGGGGCTAAATGGACACAGCCGTAAATCAGGCCGGAAACCCGATCTAAATGCACTGATCAGCTGACTTGCAAGAGGTGTCATTGATCTTTGGATTACGAAACTGCAGCTTCGCAGCATCCGCCGTTTATGAAATGTTGTGAGGAGGTATGCACAAATGCATTACACTCCGCATGGACATGCTGCACGCACTTTTAAAATCACAACCCGGCCGCACGTAACCCAGCCGCAAACACCCGACTTCGTCCTCTCCCGGCTGGCGAACATATATTGGTGCTTTCCGGAGGTACGCCCATGCGCCAACGGGCGTCCAATGTATGTGCCCGCCCACCTACCTCGCGAAAGGGATATATAAAAGTCCATATAGCGGTCGTCAGCGGGGTGGCGTTGTGCAGATGTGCAGGCCCCTGACTTCTCCGCCAGCGACGCCGTCCATCCAACCCCGAAGAAAGGTCCCTGCGGCGGGATTAGGACTCGGTGACGGAGGCCTCGCACGATGACCACGTTATCGACCAGCAAGCATTTACCCACATCCTTTATTCCATAGCCAAGAAAGGACTAGTATCGGCCGACAGACTTCTAAGTCAAACCAAACCGGACCAAAAGGGGTTAACACTTCTTTGAACGCATGCTAGTTAGTGACTGAGTTTTAAGGGGGCATCAGCTGCATTGGCCATGTACGCCCATGTCTTATTTTTAAGAACCTACGTCAACAGAACTATAATCATAACTATGCCAGCAGATTGTCATCAATGTCTTCGTCACTAGAAGGCCCATTCCGGGCGTGCGTGAAGCCCCTGGTGCTTTTGCCACTGCGCAAGTAAACGATTCAGCACCCGAAATCACGACGCGTCTGCACTGTCAAGGCCATTAGCATGGCTGAAAAGCAACCAGGTAGCCCATCACTAACGTCCCTGGGGGCTAGTGCTGGTGTGTACCCGTGAGCAGCCCTGCACCTACAGCCTTTGCCGCCTTGCCTCCCAGCCCGGCTCCTCTGCAGCCCATATTATCGACCTGAGCTGGACCCGCCGGCGCGTCAGCCCACACATCGGAGGCGTACCGCGATGTTGTCGCAGAACTCCATCCCCGACAGACTCCGTTCTTCCACCGAGTATGGCTTCCGATGGGGCCGTTTACAAAAAGTGGCCGTTTTACGAAAGTGGCCTTCCCAAGTGGCCGTTTTACGAAAAGCTTGGAAGCTAGTGCGGGAAGGGCGGGTTTAACGACTGTTGGCGGCTGTCGGAATTGGGGAGGTGACGCCGACAACGGTGTAACATGCTTGTATGGCCTGCCGGTGATGTCTCAGTTGACCATAATGAGAATTGAACGAAGCTCGCTCCACGAATGTCCTGCCTGTGCGTGTGAATGATCACCAAGGTCGGCGGATAAGTGTGTGGGGGGATGGGGAGGGGTAGCCTCCCTCCCCTCCCACTGACGCCGGCCAACACTTAACAGCACTCCTATGGAGGTGCATGGAAAGAAACATCATAAAAGTCACCTGTGCCCCCTCTCCACACAGTTTCTGTGTCTACTGCTTGCTAACGTACAGCGGCAAAGGCTGTAGAAAGGTTGGATGTCCCGATGAAACGCGATCGACGATTCCATTGTTCAATATGGCCGTCGTTGCGCAACTATGCGTATTGGAATCGTATTGGAATTTTCAGGAAATCCGCCGCCGTCGTGGCTCGGAGGCACGAGGTGACCTTTTGTCGGTGAGGCAACTGTGAGGGTGGACATTGCGCTCACGGCTTACCGACGAACTTTAAATGTTACCTCACGGCTCTGGCCATGGCGTGGGTTACGCGGCGAAAGGTCAAGAAAGGTCACCGTCGGTATTGCAGGAATAACTGTTTGTACTGGTGGCAGGCAGCTGACATTTCGAGCCAACCCCGGGTAACGGTTACGTGTGAGGTTACATGGCGTGGGATAACCTGAGAGAAATTGTGACGGCTCTCCGCTCTGGTACATTTGAAGGGCGGCGGTGGTTGATTTGGGGGGGGGGGGGGGGAGCGGAGCGCAGGCAGCCCGGGTCACCATACTTACTTGGGCGTCTCTACGGCAAGACGCGCCGATTGCAAGGCTGTATTTGTGCTCAATGATTTTTGTATCCTATGGGTCGTATTAGTGTAGAACGGGCGCAAGCAAAGTGATCTAGGTCCCAGCATCCGACTACCACGTCGATGACAGCTACGCATGAGAGAAAACGCGAACAGACTTCAGCTCAGTTCCGATACATTATTTCAGCTTAGTTTTGGTAGGCAATGTCAATAGATTGCAACGAAACCAAACTGAAACACGCATGAATGCAAATCACAAAAACGTCTAATTGGACAATGGTATTCAGCGTGGTGAGTCATTTATGATTAATGTGCTAAACCATGATATTAGTTAACACCGTGGTCATCATTGTTCGTATTGTCATGAACGTGGGATGAAGGCCGTCTTTCATACCTCTTCTCATTTCTGAGCAATAATGATGTACGGAGCATGTCCCGATGAAAAAAGTTGATAAACCGCATGAGGGAAACCAGAACACCGGAAACTGGGAAGAGCGGAAAGCTATAAGAAAAATGCGATTCCCATTTGCGACTTACAAGGCTCAACGTGCAGGTGATAGCTGGCGATCGGTGGGAATATTTAAACACCGAAAAGCACGGACCACTCTTTCTTCGTCAACGTTTGCGAGCAGTAACATATTAACAGTTACGGGAGACAGAAGCATGCTCGGTGGGGTGACATCTTTAGTAAAATATGTTGAGATCGCGTGAAGTATGTGGTACTTAGATGCATTTCATTGATCTCAGCTACTAAGAAACCAGCCTGCACTTTGGATTGTGACGATCACCCAAGTGGCGCTGTCGTGTTGTGGTGCTCCCATGTATATTGCTTGCCGAGCATGTATGTATAGCATGTATATTATTTGTTCAGCAGCGAAGAAGCAGAGAGCAAATGACTACAAAGAAAGTGGCAACATTGTAAATGAAACTCGCATATGAGTACCTGCGTGTGGTATAAATCGCTCAAATAAAAATTCAGAACAAATACTATGCGACAAAAAACTACCAAAACATGAAGCACCAGCACCATGAAGCGCATCATGCGTATGGTACTTTGTCGGACGTAGCTCGCTATCCGACCTTGGCCGTTTCCACGGGTACCGGATGTGGGGTCGGACGTCACGGTCACACAGTCAAGGTGATCGCCATGCGTGACGCCACATCCCTTATCTGACTTTGCAAGGTGCCGAGGCGGAGTGGCCGCCGGTAACGTTGACAAGACCTTTCGACAAGACTGTTCGTCTTCGTGCTGCCGTGACCGTTGTCAAGATCCCCGCGCTGTTCAACTCCGTGCCGCTGTGACCGCTGTCTGACCTCTGCAACTGCCGACAGCGCCGCGCGCGGCGGTGACCGACGTCAAGGTCATCCCGATCACCACGACATCTGTGCGCGTGGAGTGGCGGCCGGTGGCGCCCAACGCGTGGAGCGGTGACGCCGTCACCGGCGGGTACCGGGTGGAGTACCGTCCCCTCACTGACTTCCCGTCACCGATGCTCGGCGCCCTGGAGAGCAGCGTCATGGATGTGCAGGTGAGGAAGCCGGCTGGGACTGACGGCGAGGCTCTTGTCCTGGTGTTGGAAGTTGAGCACGTCGAATGTTAATTCGATACCGGCGTTCGGCTCTGTGTGCCTTTTGTGTGGAGAAAATATGCGATGAATTAAGATGGGTTTCTGAGATGTCCAACTGGTGACATCTTTTTTACGCGGAAAACAGGGAATTGTGGTGTGTGTGTGCGTGTGTGTGTGTGTGTGTGTGTGTGTGTGTGTGTGTGTGTGTGTGTGTGTGTGTGTGTGTGTGTGTGTGTGTGTGTGTGTGTGTGCGTGCGTGTGCGCGTGCGTGCGTGCGTGTGTGTGCGTGTGCGCGCGCGGCTACAAAAGCGCGCTTGCGCGTAATAGGACAATGAGGAAATGGAAAAACATTTGGAGCGGCCGTGAGATTATCTGCGATCGCTTCTTGAGACCGGGGAGTCAGATTCCTGACGCTGATCGGTCTTGTAGGCTACCCAACTGTCATCTCCGTGTGCGTTGGCGTTCGAATCAAGCACACTTTGTGATTGCTTCACGTTATCAGATCAACCGTAGTGAAATACTTCATGTTATTGAGATTATCTGCGTCGATGGATGTGTCCACGCGTCCAACGACAATCATTGCCACCATTCGTCGACATCGATGGCATAGCGTCCGCCCAACACTGGCTATCCGGCCTCAGCCCATTGGCCCGCTCCCTGGCAGCGTGGGCAGGGGGAGGGGCCTCCGCGCCCCCTCTCCTGGCGACCTTTAAGCTCGCCCTTCCGGCCAATTCTCGGGTTCCGTAACGATTCTTGCGCGGGGGCTGTTGCGTCACTGGGGCCGCATCGGCGGATGGGTGGCGCGGCGCTCTCCAGCGTCAGCTGCGGCAGCATCCCTCTGGGGATCAGGCGCTGGTCTGACCTCCGAGCTCGGAGAGCCCGGGGGCGGGTGCGGATGGATATCGGGGAGCGGATCAGCTGCTGGCGTGGGCGACCAGCGCGACCCAGAGACGGTCTGTGGGAACTGCAGCATTGGGGCCACGCAAGGGCGCTGGCTGACCGGGACACGGAGAATGTCGCGAAAGCTTTCCCAGACGAGCGGCACATCAGCGATTATCGTCTGGGGTGGCTTGTGTGCTGCCTGGAATGGCTTGTAAAACATGTAAGTGGTAACGACGTGCGTCGTGTACGAAGCATGACAGTTTAAGACCACGGCGCTTTTCACCTAGCTATGCAACGCCTATTTCGAACAATCGCGTTGAAAATTGTTCTGTTGTGTATATGATTTTCTGTCAGAGAAGCATGCTATAACTGAACAGCGGGTCGTTGTAAAATAATTTTAGTTGATTGTGTTAAATGCCGACGTCATTAAGCACAAAGCAGAAGCCTGAGGTCGTGATTGAGTGACGAACAACAACCAAAGGTATCGTGGTATACAATAAATCTCGGCCACGAACAGGACAAAAAGAGGGCTGAAGGCTCCATAAGGCTGTTCAAACTATTGGGGGGGTCTATGGAATTTCTGAGACATTCCGGAGATAAGGGTGAAAATACAGGTACCAGGCATCAGCCATTACTCTGGCTGCGGAAATGTTCCTTTCCCTGATAGGGACACCAGGCGCAGTACGACGGTTTAGCTAGGCGAATGACGAGGGCTGTAGGAATTACGTCGCTCTTCTGTGTCCCGTTCAGAGAGACCGTGGCCGTGTCGTTGTTCCCATATGCGTGTGTTTCTCCGGTACCGACTGCTTTGGCTTCTGTAGGTCGCTCGCTAGAGTCTTGGCCTCTATGAGCCGGTCTCCGCATGGCGGTCTGTGCAGTCTGGGCTTCTGTAGGTCGGTCTCTACAGTCCGGGCTTCTGTAGGCCGGTCTCTACAGTCCGGGCTTCTGTACGCTAGTCTCTACAGTCCGGGCCTCTGTAGGTCGGTCTCTAAACCGGACGGTTGCCGCAAACTTCCGGTGTCTACAGTCCGGGGTTCTGTAGGCTAGTCTCTACAGTCCGGGCCTCTGTAGGTCGGTCTCTAAACCGGACGGTTGCCGCAAACTTCTGGTGTCTACAGTCCGGGGTTCTGTAGGCCAGTCTCTACAGTCTGGGCCTCTGTAGGTCGGTCTCTAAAGCGGACGGTTGCCGCTAACTTACGGTGCTGTGAAATGGGTGAAAGGTTGCAGGTAGGGACAAAGTTTCTCAAAATAAGTTGGAGCGGAGTGGGAGGCGGTGAGCAGTGCAAAACAACAAAACTTACATCAACAATATGCCAACAAATTAGTTTCTTCGCGGATTGGGCCCACTTTCTTCTCAAAATCGGAGAAAAAGCTAGCCCCCCCCCCCCCCAACAGAATGGAAACTGCACCCCTGGACGCAGGGTCCAGCGCGAGAAGGCTGGGCATTGAAAGGCATTCCCCACGAATCCTCAAGGCTTTATTGCACCGGGACTTGTTCGTGTTAGTGGTAGTCGTTGGATCAATTCGACAAAGCTACACGTCTTTGTTTGGCGGTAATACCCCTTCAACTGATTCCTATTGGGCTGCGGATGACGTAATTGAAAGTCTCTTCGACGTTGTAGGATAAGACCTGAGTTTGAACCTGTGCAATTCCGAAATATTTAATCGAGATTATCGCGCAAACAATCTGACAATCCTGGGAACATTGCTGCAATTGCATTTTAGTCACACGGATTTGCTCGAAATGGTTTCCACGGTTGGCTTCTGCGTGTGACTCTGGCTGGTTTCTGCTCAGAATACCTGGTGAGCTGGGCGTCATTGCTGAGCTCCGAACCGGGCACCGCAGTCGTGCTCTTCCGACTCAGCACTTATTATGACATCGCGTCCTCTTAAGCCGGGCACCTCTGCGGACGCACCAGTAACTATGGCATTGTGTCCTCTTTAGCTGGCAACACTGCGGACGCACCAGTTACTATGACATCGCGTCCTCTCTATCCGGGCCAACCACTATGGCATCGCGCCCTCCTTAGCCGACAAATATTGTTTTCATAGCTCACGTGTCGGCGGCCCTCGTGAACCATGTCGTCCCTGCTTGGCCTGCTGTCAGCTGACCGGCGTGTCGGGCAGAGCAAGCTACGTGGACTGTCCAGGATGGCCACTGGAGGCTGCTGTGTTGCCGGACCAGCACGTCTTCCTTAGGCGTGAGGGCCGCTAGTGCTGTGTCACCTGCACTATTACATAATTGGTTTACAGCTGGGCTGTCTCTTTGAGATGCTTCAGCTCAGTTTTTGTGTTTTGTTTTTTGCGACCGGCATGTCCGGCTGTCCCATCAGCCTCATTTAGCAGTAAGTCTGACAAATAGCCACATCATTAGGCCAGAAATAAGATTTTTATGTGATTATATGTCTTTCCGAGTGTGTGATCAGATTGTCGCGTACCGCATTACCAGACTTCGTGCGAGGGACAAATGTTGTGGTCAATTCCCAGACAGCCTGTTAGAAACCTGCCTCTGACTGGTGTCCTAGCCTGTAAAGTGCGTGTTGTATCACAGAACTACATGACTTGTTTTTTTTGAAATTTTGCGTCATCACTCTTATGTTTTATCTTCCAAGATAACCCGTGCGCCTTAGCCTTATCCCAACTATTTTGAAAACCGATAATACAGCATTGACTGGATGCGACCTCTAGCGGAGGCCATGAAACTGGTACCCAAACTTCGCGTCTGGTTTGCAGCGCGCTTTTCTCTATCAATGCCCACCTAATCTGCACCGCTCCCTCTTGCTAACGAGACCGCTCCGTCACAGACGCTGACTCTAACTCCGTCACCGACACTGACTCTGACTCTGACTCTGACGCTGACCCTGGATCTGGCTCTGACTCTGACTCTGACACTGATGCTGATTCTGACTCTGGCGCTGAGTTACAGGCACGGCACTGCTAACGAGACCCCTCCGCTACAGACGCTGAATCTAACTCCGTCACCGACACTGAGCTACAGGTGCGGCACTGCCATTCCCTTGTCGGCAGGCGCGCGCCCTGGTACTGGAGGATCTGGTGCGGGACAGAAACTACGAGGTGGTGGTGGTGGCATTCAACTCGCAAGGCGACGGTGCACCAACGCGACCCGTGCAGGTCAGTGACACCCTGGTGAGCGGGCACAGGTAACTTCTGGTAGACACAGACGCCCCGGAAGCGGGTGAGGGTAATGTCCGGTGGACGAAAGCGCTGCAAGAGGCGGATGTTGGTAGTCTCACGCTGGGCGGGAGTGATCCAGGATGCGAATGCCGGCAATTTCCGCCGGGCGGAAGCATTCCGGGTGGCGGAGATGCGGGGATAATTTTTTATTGACGAGAGTGCTCCAGTCAGGGATTCAGGTAATTTCCAGTGAACGAGAGTGTCCCGGGAAGCGATGCGATCGTTTCCTCGTGGGCGCTCTGGGGGGGGGGGGG